AAACAAGCTGAAAAAGACGGATTATAAATAAGCGAACATGACCTATAAAATTGTGTTTTTTTCTGGGATGGAGGAGGTAGTACTAGTCATGGAATATATGGCCCCGTTCGCTTCACTGAAAAAACAAGCCGAAACACTGTTCTGGCTGATTTGTTGTCAGAGAAAAACACTGTTCCGACTAAAAAAACAAGCAAAAAAAGACAGAACAGGCCATAATGCAGTTTATTGCTGAGGCAACGCAAGGTAAATATAAAGATTAGTAATTAATAATACCGAGATCCAATCGCCTGTCTTGTCGTTGTTCCAATAAGGTGAGGCAAGGAGGATATATATTCAGATAACCAAAAGGTGCCTGCTTGCCCTTTTCTACATACACGACCGACCAAATTAATGTTAGTAGTATATTGACAGCACATTTATAAAAAGATTATATTAGAAACAAGATGCTAAGATAAAATTGCTACTCTCTCCGTTTCTAAATAAATTAATTTCTAAAATCCGTGCAAGTCAAACTATTTTAAGTTTGATTAACTTTTTATAGGAAAGAATAACAACATCTATGACATAAAATGAGTATATTATGAAAATATATTCTATGGTATATCTAATGATACTAATTTGATGTCATAAATCTTGACAAAATTTTCTAGAAACTTGTCAAAGTTTAATAAGTAAACTTAACACAACTCTAGGAATCTTTTTCTAGAAACTTGTCAAAGTTTAATAAGTAAACTTAGCACAACTCTAGGAATCTATTTATTCAGGACAGAGGGCCTTGCCGGTGAAGCCTATTAAAAAATGATGCGCATTTACATTAATTGTTGTCTTTCCAAGAAAAAGATGTGCGTTTACATTAATTGCGAATAAAGCGACCTTCTACGTCAGTATATGTTTCATTGATTATCAAAATTGCTGTCATCTTCAGAGCTAAAAAAAGAAAGATGGAATGGAAATTGTAGAGTACTCCCTCTGTTTTTTTTATGTGGCACATTAGATTTGTCCTAAGTAAACATTTGTATCTTTGACCATTAATTCTGAAAAGTTTATGTAAGTTAATGATATAAGATTTATATGTTTAGATTCACTATGAGAAATATTTCCATAATCTATAATTCATATGTTGATAAATTATAAGGATTTTTTGAAATTAATAGTCAAAGATAGTAATGTTTGACTTAGACAAGACTAATGTGACGTATAAATAAAAACGGAGGGAGTACTCCCTCCGTCCCTAAATAACTGTCGTTTTGGGTTCGTGCCGTAAGTTTGATTAGATTCGTAGAAAATACGTGCAACATCTATATCTCCAAATAATTTAATTACGAAAATAGATTCGACGATCTATCTAATGATATTAATTTTATACCATAAATATTATTATTTTTATATATTTAGTCAAAGTTTTTCTCTGAAAACGAAAATGATAGTTATTTAAGGACGGAGCGAGGCGAAGGAATAGGACGTGGTGGTCAATTGCCGTGTGGACAGATGAGATAATCAAGAGAGAGACGTACGCACACTACAGGTAGCGGGCAGTCTTGAACGAGATAGAGACCAGCGATGTATCATATTCATATGAGCTCGTGGTGCACGTTTATTATATACTCCGAACAGTCAAACAATATTGTGATACATAATAAGTATCACTAGATTAATAAAAATATATTTTTACAGTAGATCTATTAAAAGAGATAAATATTGATATTTTGTTCTATAAACCTAGTTAAGTTTGAGATTATTTTTGACTTTTGAAAAAGCAAGATTCATATTTTGTTTAAGAACAGAGAGACTATAGACTAGCTAGTTCTTGGTTCCTTCCTAATTGCTCTCAGCATAAAATTTGTCTGCCACAAATATATAGCTTTACTCATTGTCACCATGAAATCGATGCATGTATACTTGTCCCTTTCATACATGACATTCAAGGCAACAAGTAAAGTTAACCAATCTAATAATAATAAAATGGGTGATCGATCACTTGGGTATGTACACATGCATGACTTCACAATGACTTGGGTCACTTCCTAAATATAACTATTTAAAAAAAATTGCTGAGATCGATGGATGGATAGATCATAGATGACCCAGTAGCTTCTTCAACAAGTACTGAAAATGATTATTCGGAGGAAGCTGTCCCCTACACGCATGCTGTCACCTTCGTCATTACTCTCATCTCCTAGTATTTGTCTTGTTAACCTTGTGCCTGTCTCTCTCTGAAACATACATATATCACATCTTGTACACGTACTTGTTAGATAGTCTTTCTCTACCGTAGAAAAGTTTCTAATGGAGCATTTGGATACGATACAACATAGGCGAACACATGAATTACAATAGAAAGATAGACACATGAATGTTTCCTTCAAATTTCCCTATAGATTGAGCTATTCCATAAGAATTTTATATAGGATTTCAAGATGACCAATCCTTTGTCCCAAAGGGTCACATAGAAAAAATTTCTATAGGTTCACAAACCTATAAAATTCCTTGATATATAAATCATATATGTTCCAAAGGGGGCCTACCTATGAAAGGAAAAAAAAACAACAGAGAAAAATAAAATCTATATATATGGCATGTACTGTAACTCCTATTCCTTTCTTTGCCCAATCACACACTCCAACTCCAAGGCTCAAGGTTGCAGGCACCGGCAGCAATGGATGATGTACGGACCATGGTGAAATGTCTGTGACTGTGACCACTAGGCTTATTAGTAGTGCTTATTAGTAGGCAATGGATGATGTACGTACGCCGGCTTGCACGGCGCTAGTAACACGTGTGTCACGTCATCTTGTCTATGCCGATCGACCACCAATCACCGTGGATAGATAGATGCTTCACTAATCATCTTGCTGTCGAAGAGCAGGGAGCAATCGGGTTGAGGGATTATTATATATAATAATACGAGTACTAAGTTAAAATTTCATAACATGACCGACAATACCTATGAAAGTAGAACACATGAATTTTACACGAACTGTATAGTAATTTCACGAGAATCAGTTCATTTTACGCATGAACAAAAAAAAATCTCATCTCACGTTTTAAAAGGGGCCTAGAAGTTTAACTCAAGAGTCGAGACAAACCCAACTACCTACAATATATAATTTAGCCCTTGTTTAGTTCCATGAAATTGGAATTTGGTGCTACTGTAGCACCTTCGTTTTTATTTGGCAATTATTGTTCAAACATGGACTAAGTAGACTCAAAACGTTCGTCTCGCAATTTTCCACCAAACTGTGCAATTAGTTTTTTTTTTCATCTACATTTAATGCTCCATGCATGAGCCGCAAACATTCGATGTGACAGGTACTATAACACTTTTTGGGATTTTGGACTCCAACTAAATAAGGGCTTAGTCAATATAAGTCCTCACTTAACCCAAGTCACCATAGAGCTTGTTGTGGTCGATGAGTAAAGGTTCAAATCACACCTACTAATCTGCAAGTGCAGAGTGGTAGACTCTCGTTTAATGATATAGGCTCACGGCTGACGTGGTACACCGCGCACTGGTATCATTGCCCTTGTCCACCGTGTGGGGCCCACCTGCTGCCACTCTCCAATCTCCATCTCCCTCCTACTCCCGGCTCCTCCTCGCCTCCAAAATAAAATCACCTGAGAAAATGAGCTTCAGGGAAGGCCGCCGCCGCCTCCTGGGGTCTTGACGAGGAGTCAAGCCGCGGCACGCTCCCCCGGAGACGACCAAGATTTCCTCTTTCTGGGGAGCACGAGCACCAACGCCATCCCGTAAGTCTCCCTCCTCATGCTGTTCCCGCCCCAGAACTAGCACAGAGACATCTTCAACATTTTTGTTCCTGGAGCCGAGCAAATCCCCGTGTCTCCACCTGCCAATGGCTGCCGTTTCCGGCCGTTTCCTGGGCTCTTAGTAGTGATTCGGAGCAAAAGTTGTCTTCTTGGGACTAGTTCCTGCACATCCCTCTCCCGGCCGCTAGTACTTCTCCTAGTAGTAACATCTGTTAGTACCTGACGCTGTCGGGGTTTGATTGGAGCGAGGAATTCGCCAGAACATCTGCGATTTAGGTCCGTCCTGTTGATCGTCACTTGCTAAAACGAGGACGAACCGCATGGAGGCGCTGATTGCTTGACAATCTAGGCATTGCTGCACTTTTCCAGGAAGCCCCCCCTCCCTGAGAGTTTGTTGGAACGTACTGTACTAGTTGTATGGAAGCGTACCTCCTCGTGGCAAGCGTGCTTGGCAATACCCAACCTCATCATTATAGTAGTGTGGAATGCGTATGTTTTTTCTTCTTCTTGTCTGATCCACACAAGGAATAGAATCGATACCTTGATTGGTTCTTATGCCTTGCACATAGCACAGTGCCAAGGTATCAAATATCCAGCTTTTGTTCTTTTCGTTCATAGCGAAAGGGTGTGCCAAATGGAATATGTGGGTTGAGTAAGACAGCCACCTCTTTTATCTGTCGCTGTTCACTCATGGACCACGCATTGCATTTGGGTTATGGGTGGGATAGGGCGATATGAGCAAAGTTAGGTCCTGGATGATGATTGCCAGGAGAATCCATGATCCATTTAAGCTTCATGTGGTGAGGATTGATCAATGCTGGGATTATGTTTCGTGGTTTCTCTCTCTCGTTCTCTTCCTTCTGGAAATATGGAAAGTGGATATCGTGATTGGCGCCTACCAAAACATTTTGTACCATATTTGAAATGAGTGTTTTTTTCTTCCATTCGTGATATATTAGTGTAATGACTGAGTTTCTTTTCTTTGCACTGCCCAGTCAATTATGTTCATGTTATTCCTATATTTGCTTCTTGCTGTCTATATTTGTTCATCTCCTTCTTTCTTATTGTTTTCCTTTCAATTTACAAGAAAACGTCTTATATATTTATTCTCTTGCACATGTTCATCCTAATAAGGTGGCTCCATGTTTTTCTCTTTTGATAGGGTTCACACACTCATTGATAATTTGCCAACTTCTGCATAAGTTCAAAGCAGCCTCTGAAACATTTGGGCCAAAATGAAGATATCTTTTCTCATGTTGATGGTTCTCTCCCTGTTTCTCTTCCCTAATGGGATCCACAAAAGCTTAGCTTCAAGGCCTTCAGTTGTGAGTATTGGGTCTATTCTTCGGTTGAACTCCACCACTGGAGGTGTTTCAGATGTTGCCATCCATGCAGCAGTGGATGATATCAACTCAGATCCAACAGTTCTAAATGGAACAACGTTACGAGTTGACACGAGAGATACAAATTGTGATGACGGTTTCCTTGGCATGGTTCAAGGTAGACCATCTTTAATACCGATTCCCTTTTTTATTTCACTGTTCAATACTCCGTGCTTCCATTCTAGACTTGTGATGATGATACAATATTCCTTTTTTTCAGCTTTGCAGTACATGGCGACTGATGTTATTGCAATCATTGGGCCACAATGCTCTCCTATTGCACATATCATTTCGTATGTCGCAAATGAGCTTCAAGTTCCTTTGATGTCCTTTGCATCAGATGCAACCCTATCATCAATCCAGTTCCCGTACTTCATGCGGACTATGCCCAGCGATCTCTATCAAATGGCAGCTGTGGCGGCAGTTATTGATTACTACCAATGGAAGATAGTGACTGCCATATACGTTGATGATGATTATGGTCGAAACGGCATTGCTGCTTTGGATGATGAACTTACTGCAAGGCGCTGCAAAATTTCATACAAGGCCGGGTTCCGTTCCAATGCTAAAAAAAGTGAGCTTCTAAATCTATTGGTTACTGTTAGTAATATGGAGTCTCGTGTTATTATCCTCCATACTGGTTCGGAACCCGGACTCAAGCTTTTGTCAATTGCTAATTCACTAAACATGATGGGCAACGGCTTTGTATGGATTGCAACTGATTGGCTTTCTGCTTATCTTGATGCTAATTCATCGGTCCCTGCTGAAACTATAAATGGCATGCAAGGTGTTCTGACTGTACGTCCACACACCCCAAAGTCAAAGATGAAGAGTAATCTGGTGTCCAGGTGGAGCAGCTTAAGCAAGAAATACAACCACAGTGATCTTCGCATCAGTGCTTATGGTTTTTATGTTTATGATAGTGTGTGGACTGTAGCTCGGGCCTTGGATGCCTTCTTTGATGATGGTGGGAGGATTTCCTTTACAAATGACTCAAGGTTGCGTGACGAAACTGGGGGAACTCTTCACCTTGAAGCCATGAGTATTTTTGACATGGGAATCAAACTACTGGATAAGATTAGAAATGTGAACTTCACTGGGGTGTCTGGCCAAGTGCAGTTTAATGCTCACTTTGAACTCATTCATCCTGCCTATGATATCATAAGCATTATTGGGAATGGCATGCGGACCATTGGTTTTTGGTCAAACTATACAAGATTGCTATCGACTGTACTTCCAGAGGACCTATATTCGAAGCCTCCTAATACTTCTCTTGCCAATCAACAACTCTATGATGTCATTTGGCCTGGAGAGACTGCACAGAAGCCTCGAGGCTGGGCCTTTCCTTCCAATGCCAAGGAGTTGAAAATTGGCGTCCCTAACAGATTTAGCTTTAAAGAGTTTGTTAGCGAAGATAATGCTACAGGGTCAATGAAGGGCTATTGCATCGATGTCTTCACTCAAGCATTGTCATTGCTTCCTTATCCAGTTACATACAGGTTTATACCTTTCGGCAATGGTACTAAAAATCCTCATTATGACGAACTTGTACAGATGGTAGTGGACAATGTAAGTATGGACATGCAATTTTTTTCCCTCCTCCACATTTCAGCATGTATAATAGTGATCAGAGTTACTTTATCCTGCAGGATTTTGATGCAGCAGTAGGGGATATTGCAATTACAATGAGCCGAACTAAAACTATTGATTTCACCCAGCCCTTTATTGAGTCAGGCCTGGTTATCTTGGCTCCAATCAAAAAGCATATAACAAGTTCTTGGGCATTCTTGCAGCCATTTACATTGGGGATGTGGTTTGTTACAGGGTTGTCTTTTCTTGTTGTGGGTGTGGTTATTTGGATTCTTGAGCATCGAATAAATGATGAATTTCGTGGCTCGCCGCGGCAACAAATAATAACTATTGTTTGGTAAGGATCTGAATGGCATCTTTTGCACTCACTATACATACATCTTGTTTTCAATTACAGATGTTAATTTTTCCATTTGTTCCCATGCAACATGTTCCACATTATTGGCAGCCTTAAACTGTGTTTTTCAACATTGACATTTTGTCCAAATGGAACATCTAGGAATGAACAAGGAATTTAAATCTTGTAATTTTAGATTGGTTGAAGAAAAGATGTCTGCACTCATAATCTATTTCACGTGATAATATGGTATATTATCCTCTATTTTCTAGTTTTGCCTGTCAAAGTACTTCTGCACACGTATTATTAAATGCCTGTCTGATGGCTTGATTCTTTCCTCTGAAATTAATGCTTATGATGTGTCTTATTCTCTGCAGGTTCAGCTTTTCGACTCTATTTTTTGCACATAGTGAGTAAACTAGCCTTTCCTGTTATGTCCTTTAGTGTAACTGGCCCTCTGTACTGATGTGACACCTCTACCCTTAATTTTTTTATTACCAGGAGAAAACACTATGAGTACTTTAGGACGTGGTGTTCTGATCATATGGCTATTTGTTGTATTGATCATTCAATCAAGCTATACTGCAAGTCTTACTTCCATCCTAACCGTGCAACAACTTGATACTTCTATAAGAGGAATTGATGACCTGAAAGATAGTGATTATCCTATTGGTTTCCAAGTTGGTTCTTTTGCCGAAGAATACATGGTCAAGGAACTGAACATCTCACGGTCGAGGTTAAAAGCTCTTGGTTCTTCTGAAGAATACGCTAAAAACCTCAAGTTAGGCCCTAAGAAAGGAGGTGTTATGGCCATTGTTGATGAGCGCCCCTATGTTGAGCTGTTTTTGTCAACTTACTGCAAGATTGCTGTTGCTGGCTCAGATTTCACCAGTAGAGGATGGGGCTTTGTAAGTGCATTGAACTTTAAGTTGTCTTGAAATATATTCTAGTCTAGTCTAGAAATATAAACAAAAACACAACTCATAATTCCTTCAAGATTATCAAACTAGAGTTACAGCATTAACTACAAGCGTTCCATCTACTGTTTACATAGCTGATGGTACACTCTAAGATCAGTTTTTCTTAAGAAAAAGGGCACATTCTCTAAGATTAGTGTTTCAGAAGTCTAATATCCAGAGTGTAGCAACCTTGTTTCATTATTTCAAACATAGCTCTTACAGAACTCACTCTATCAGGCATTTCCAAGGGATTCCCCTCTGCAAGTAGACCTGTCCACCGCAATCCTAACACTGTCGGAGAATGGGGAACTGCAGCGGATCCATGACAAGTGGCTCAAGACAGGCGATTGCTCAACTGACAACACTGAGTTTGTGGACTCGAACCAGCTCCGACTTGAGAGCTTCATGGGCCTCTTCCTCATTTGTGGCGCAGCATGTGTCCTCGCCCTGCTCATTTACTTTGGCATCATGCTACGCCAGTACCTGAGACATGAACAGCCGGGATCAGCAATCTCCGTGGATGCAGGGTCATCGACATCGAAGCGCAGCCTCAGAAAATTCATTTCATTCGTCGATGACAGGCAGCCGCCACCAAAGAAAAGGCGGACCATGAGCCTCTCTAGAAGTTCAATGCCAACAACGCCAATGAGTAACCGTCCTGGTACTGATATTGATATAGAAAGCTAGTGCTTGTGTATACGTTTTTGACCTGGGATACATCATCTTTGGGCCAATCTATGTGTCCTTATGTATAGGAAATTAGAGCCAAAGGCTGTGTAGCGGATTGCATTTGTCGGTTTTTAGCACCCCAACCGCCCAAGGATAAGTGGATAACAAGTCGTCCGAGTTTGGTAAAACTGTAAAATTGTAGAGTCAACTCTTGTTCACGAATGATGATGGTGTTATGAATGGAATATATGTTTGTTTCATTTTATTTGTTCTTTCAGATTTCTCTCATCATGCTTTCAATGTATCTTCTGGCCACCATGAATTGATTTTACAAGTTTTTTTTTTGTCGAACACATTGGTTTCACAAGGTAATACCCCTGTCTAGAAAAGAAAGCAATTCTAGATGCATTATTGGTTAAAGTTGCTAAAGTTGAACCAAATATATAGATAAAAATATTTACCGCGTTCGGCTGGTCTAGTTACGGCTTGTTCCCGCTTGTTTCAGCTTATTCTCTCTCACAGAATACTATTGAATCATCTAGAACCATCCAAAATCCACTGTGCATGGCACCAGCCGAACGCACTGATTAATGTCTATGATATCACATAAGTGCGTATAAAAGAATATCTCACGACAAATGTAACGATACTTGTTTGGTATCATAAAGTATTAATGCTTTTATATATAGTATATAAGTTGGTCAAACTTAAGATACTTAGTAGTGGTTAGTGCTGTGCTAGAGTTGCATTCTTTCGTGGATAGATAGTACAATCCAAGTTGTTCATTTGTTCGTATTTCAAACCCAAGAGATTGATTGCAAAGGTTTCAATTTTTTTAAACACGCACACAAACACACTCTCCAAGTCACTAAACAACCACCAGACATTGGAATTTTGGGGCTACTCCAGCTGTCCAGCACACCCTGGAAAATGAAGAAATGCATCTCATTCGGCTGGTCATGTTGTTTCAGCTTATTCTCTCACAGAATTTTATTTATTCATCCAAAGCCATCCGTTTTTCACTGAAAATTGATGGCATAATGAAAATAATATAGAAAAAATGACGACAATAGTTGGTTTCAGAAAAAAAGTGGGGAAATGGGATATTCCTGGTACCCTTGCCACCTGTGCTTTCTTTATGGATATGATGATGAAGCGGACGTTGTGGGCGCGCCATTTCGGACCCTCCACTCAACTCTCCCATGGCTTCCTCTGCCCTGCCTTCTAGAACCTTCCACCGCCGCGCGCTCCCCTCGTCTGCCCCGTCTCATCCTTCGATGGAGACCTTCGCCCCCTGCTGCCTCCCCGGCGCCGTCTCGCGGCGGCGAGTGGCCGTGCAGCTCCTCTCCGCCGGATTCTTGACGTCCGTCGCGCCGCCACCGCCGTCGCTCGCCGCGAGGAGGGGACGCATTGTAGTGCCGCCGGAGGACTACGCCACTGCACGTACGTCGGTGTGCCTGCCTGCTTCCTGGAGCTGCTGGTTTCTGTATCTTTGCTCAGTTTCTTGCTAAAGTTGGCACTTTTATTTGCGACTGACTGAATTAAGCTAATTACGGCCTTTGCTGTTAAGATTAAGATCTTTTTAATGCAAATGCTGTTGGTCCTAACTTTTTTTATGTCTGCAACACCATATATTCCTTCTTGAATATGCACTGTGTTGATTGATTGAAATTCCATTTTGAGTTTCTCCAAGTAATCTGACCTGATAACATTTGGGAGCAGCTGATGGTCTGAAGTACTATGATCTTGTTGAAGGGAAGGGGCCAATTGCTGAAAAGGGCTCAACTGTGCAGGTAACTTAACACTTGTTCATGCTTCCAGTGCGCATCGCGCTTCCTTCTTAACTGAAATTAATGGCTATCTTCTCAACTCTTAAAGGTTCATTTCGACTGCATATACCGTGGCATCACTGCAGTGTCAAGCCGTGAATCAAAGCTCCTGGCAGGGAACCGGAGTATCGCCCAGGTGATGTGGCAAACTGCACCTGATTCTTGTGTGTTAGTTCTGATATCCCTGCTCTAGACCAATGAGAATTAAGATGTTTGGGTGTCTTCTAGTAGCCTTATGAGTTCACTGTTGGGTCGCTGCCTGGGAAAGAACGAAAGCGGGATTTTGCAGACAATGCCAATGGGCTATACTCAGCGCAAGCGGCACCAAAGCCTCCAGCCGCCATGTACACGATAACTGAGGGGATGAAAGTAGGGGGAAAGGTATGGACAAGAACAACTAGCACAAGTGAAGGCAAATAATTCAGCCTTTCTACCTCTAGTATATTACTAGCTTCATCTCTGATATGTATATATATGCTATTGGTCATGCAGAGGAGAGTAATTGTTCCTCCAGAGCTGGGATATGGGAAAAGGGGAATGAGCGAGATACCGGTACATGTTTTGATTCATTAAAATTTCATTGGTCAAGCAGATTGATTAGCAGATTCATGTACTGAAGTTGTTTTGTTTGATTCCATGCTTCTTTGCAGCCTGATGCTCCTTTTGAACTGGATATAGAGCTACTGGAACTCATTTCTCCTGCCGAAAAATGACCTTTTCTATTTGCACCGGACAGGGAGCATTGAGGTACTTATGGAGTGTGCCAAATTTAAGAGGAATGGATTACATGATTTACTGACATTTGAGGCCCATGCTGATTAGATATGCAATTGTAATAACCTATGATTAGATGCATGCTGAGATGGTAGTTGCCGGGACAAGAATTTTTTGTTCAAGACACATAATTTTTTTTTGGACAATAAGCAGAACTAAAGTGTGTAAAATATTTCCCTCAAAGTAAAATACATGTAAAGTTTCTTGATTATCTTGAAACAAAACTAGGCAATGAATATTCTCCGTAGTGTCATGTCATGGAGCCTGTTTGAATATATAGGAAAAACAAAAAAAAAATGATCCGCCACTTGGTGAAGTGAGCTTGCTTGCTGATTCTCATCTATAGGTCCTCAGGGCCATTGATATCCTGGATAAAAGAATGAATACCCTGTTGTTAGAAACATCAATTGTGCTATCAGCTTGCTTTCTCATCAAGTTATGATAACCTTACATTGTCTAGGAGTTCTAACTAGTGTGAGCATGTAACAGTTCTAGATTGTTCTCTTTCCTTTTCAAAATTGTCCTTACATTCCTTTTCCTATCCAGAAGAGGAATGCTAAAATTTAATGACTTGTCTAGGAGTTCTAACTAGCGTGAGCACGTAACAGTTATAGTATTGTCCTCTTTCCTTTTCAAAATTATCCTGAAGATAACATAAATGTGACAAACATCGGAACAAAACTGAGGTAAGTGTTTGCTTTAAAACTACAAAATTCCTGAGACATCAACAATAGTGCCTCTTGAGAAAAAATACCTTGTTCTCGATCACTGCTCCGTCTGGGATTTCTAGCTTGACGCCAGGTTTTGCTGTGATGGTCACTTTCCCCTAAAAGTTACAGAGAAGAAGTGTCATTACTCCATGGCTTTAGCACTGTAAGATACTATGTGTCTTCATAAAGGCATCATAACAAACAACATGGGAAAAGGAGCTGCAAATTGTCCCATAAAGTTTCTCTGCAACTTTTTAGCATGATACATGTGATCTTTGAATAAATACATGAAACTTATCTGAACTAGGAAGGTGTTCTGCAACTTAGGAATATTATAGCTGTTCTCTAACTTAGGAAGATGTACCTTCAGTACAATGCCAGAACCAAACCAAACATCACCAAAAACCTTCAAGCTGTCAAGCTCAACAATGCTAGGGATAGACTTGAAGCGACCAAGGAAGCTCCCAACCTGCCAATTTGTTAAAAAAAACGATCATCCTATCTGCGTTTGGACCTCACGAGTTAATGTTTGAACCTCTTTTTTTCATGAATTAAATGCTAGAGTCTGACCTTCTTGAACTCAGGACCAAGTTCAATTGAGGGATTTGATGGATTTGTTCTTGCTGAATTACGTGTAACGAAGCCATCAACCAAGGTATATAGATCAGACTACAAGGCAAAAAATAAAGGTTTTCATTTAGACAGCTAGAGAGCGCATTACATACTCAATTTTATTCAGCATAGCATACAAACCTGTACTAGCTGCAAATCTGATGTTGCCTTAACTGGTAGGAACCGGGACCTTGGAACGTTGATACCAATGGCGTGGTCAAAGAACTGGTCCAATAAAATATTGTTTGTTATATTTATATATAGTCATATAAAAGCATGGTAATGTACATAGTATTTTGGCAGTACCCTAATCGCTGCACCAGCTGCTGTTTCCAGCTGAAGAACTTTCACACCATCGACTTCCTGAAATTATATGTTATCCATTATAACTATATTTTTCTCTTGAAATTCATACCGGTTATTAAGTTCATGAAGTGGCCCAGATGGAAACAGGGTTTCCTAATGTTCACTCTTACCTTAGGATTCGGAATGATCTCCATCTTGAGTGCATCAGCTTCAACAAGGCGTTTGATGGCCTTCAAGTTCACCCACCTGCCAAACCAGCAGTAGCATTAGATAACATGAGCAATTTTCTTTAGAAGAAATGAAATTTAAATATGATCCTTACAGATTGTTGGTGTTGAATATCTTGAATTTCTCAATTGATTTGAACTCATTCACCTATGTTCAGAAAGTTTTGGCAATGATCTCAGAAAAAACCGTACAATTACTTTCTGTGATACTTATTATCAATGCATATGCAGTGCTATCTTAGAACTTACATGTGCATCAGGCACTTGTGCAATCTCCAGAAGCTGCATACAGAGAGAAGGTTATTGTCATTTAAACAGTAATCAGGCATCAATGAAAAAAAGGTTAAGGCATGAAAACGGCTGTATAAACACTTCCAATAATAATACATGAAACTACATTGCAGACTGGAAAGCATAGAAAGAAAAATTCATTGCTCCAGTAGCACAAGGAAGTAGAAAAGATAACCTGAACCCTTCCTTCGCATGAGATCAGTGTGCCACCTTTTACATCAGCCAAAGTTTTCGGGGTGACCTGAAAAGAGTTTGTAGAGATTCCTTATCAACCAACTGTCAAACTCCAAGTAATCTTGCTTCATCAGATAACTACATACCTCCATGCAATATTCATTCTGCTTGTGGATCAAATGGTTCAGTATCTCTATTCAACGGTTAAGTACATTGCAAAGTAGCATGCTCTTTATTAATCAGAAAACTTGCAAAAGTAAATGGTAATGCTAGTTTACATAAGGATACTCATGTCAACAATAGCGCCCAAGTTATCCGAGTTTGCAATGAACACATACTCTTTTCCCTGCAACAGGGTCAACAAAGAAAATAATATTATTATGTTAATAATGCATGAAAAACTCTGGATCAACAACAATGGGAGCTAAGGGTATATCCAGATCAATGCAGACCTGTGAGAGTAGTAAATCGAGCTTTCCACTGTTCATCAGTGATGGGAAGATATCACCATGGCCAGGAGGGTACCTGAAATTTTATATAAGGCAAAGATGTTCAGAGTTGGTACTAGATTCATGCCATGTATGTTCTGGTTGAGCTACATATAGCGTTGGCTTACCAGCCATCCTTGTCAGTCTTTCCCTTGGACGGCCATGGCAAGAACTCGTCAGCTACCACACGAGGATACTGGCTCTGTAATGATACAGATTGTTTTATTGTCAGCTTAGCATATTTTCGGAGTCAAATTGGTAAACTAAGATTAGAAAAAAATTGCCTAGCGTACCTGGTTGAATGTGTGGATGTCAATGCTTGAATTTGCGTATTTCTCAACAATCTGTAGGACAAGCATAACCATTAGCTTTCGATCTCCAATATGAAGAAGAGGAAGAACTTGTGATGAAGAGAGAATTTACTTTCAAGGTGTCCTCATGGGTGTTGAAGGAGTTCATCAGAAGCAGCGGCACATTGCTGCCGTACTTCTTGTTGAGTGACTGTAAGAGAAATGATGCCATGCCACCAAGTGTCACCATACATACAAGATAGAAAGAAGATCAAGTGCTGAAGTTTGCAGGAACAGCGCTGCATTAGTCAGTCGTGATGATGTTTTAAGTTAACCCACCTCGATCTGGATGACAATCAGGTCGAGGAAAGTGAATCCGTTGCGCACTTCGATGACCGATCTGCATGCAATTAACGTTAGTTTTAGACAGCATTGTTGAGAGAGCTCTGTGAACATGATGCTCATATTCAGATACGATACCAGCAGCCACATATATATGGAAGCAAAATGCTAGAGCTTGATTCAGGCATTGAATTGAAACTAAACCGAAAGCAGACTTTACAGCCTACTGCATTCCTGAACTCGATCCGATAGATCTGGGCACGGCTTACTTGGGTCCGGTGCATCCCATGGTCGTCCCCAGGCCGCCGTTGAGCTTGAGCACGGCGAGCTTGTCGAGCAGTTTCTTGGTTGCCTCAATGTCTGCATTTATTTATTACAGTATATTACTTAGGCAAATCAGCCTTGGCATTCACATTCCCGTGCATCAGATTCAGGATTACGCAGCAGAAGAGTAGGCGTACCTTCAGGCGGGGATTCCAGGGTGTCGTACGGCACCACCACCTCGTCGGTGGGCGTGTGGATCTTGGCCCACTCGATGATCTCCTCGTCGCCGCTTCAAGTTCGCCGGCACGATGAGACACTGTCAGATCGATCGACATTTCTGGTCCGAGCAATTCTTCATCATGAGCTGATGGCACTTACCTGAGGTAGCGGCCGACGAGGCTGAGGAAACCAGACTTCTCATTATCGCTGCAGACACCAAGAACCCAACCAACCAATCAGTGTCACCAAGAAGAAAAAGCATCGGGAATAGATGGGCATGGTAGAGAGTATAGAGAAGAAAGAATTGCGATCTCTCTCATGGGGCAACGAGTACGTGATCTGAGAGCGGAAGGGTGCAGCAGACCTGATCTGCGTGAGGCCGGCGGTGGCTTCGCGCAGCTTGGCAAGCTTCTCGTCCGCCATTACTGCAACTGCAAGATGCGCGCCTGACGCCGGGAGATGGATCTGAGAGAGGAGGGAGACGGGGAGATCGGAGGAAGGAGGTGTCGGTTATTATAAGGCAGAGCGATGGCGGGATGATGAACGACCCAAAAAAAGGGGCCGTCGCAAGAGACAGCCCGTTACCGGCGGAGGAAGCGCTATTTTTATTGTATTATTTTTTTCTCCTTTTATTTAATCCATTCATTGTTTTTTTCTTTTTTATTTCAAAAGAATTATTTTTTTTATCTTACGAAGAGATAGCCTTTAGATAGCGAGCTGGAATTTATCTTGGTTTAGTTTTCACCCACGAGGCCACGAATTTGCAGCCTGTTCGGGAGGCCGTATCGTATCGTGGATTATTTACTGCTGGCTGGTTTGGTGTGAGAATCGTATCGTGGATTATTTACTGCTGGCTGGTTTGGTGTGAGAAAAAAACACTGTTTCTGACTGAAAATTTACGATCGTTTACGGGCAAGCGAACAGGCTGTTGATCTGGGATGCTAGCTTGTTCAATATATTTGTCAGTGTTAGATCTAGAAGAGATGGCATTCACCCAGACATGTGAGCGACAGCGA